CCCAGAAGTGAGGTGGGTGGAGGGTGGGACTAAAAGTTCCCAGGTGGTCAGCCTCCATCCTCAGGCTGCCTTGGGTTTTTCAAAAGTCTCTCATTGACATAACAAAACACACCTTTACCGGTCTCCTCATAAGAAATTCCAAAGGTTTTAGGAACCCTGAGACAGAAATGGAGATGAAGACCAAATATATATTTCATATTAAAAATCACAATTTCAGTCTCATACAGAAGAAAAAACAGAGACAAAAAAAAAATTGATCATCACCCAACCTCTTCTTGAAGGAGACTGGCTGGCTCTCTCAGGGCAGGGCAGCCACAAGAGGATGTGCTTTTTTAGCGGTGGGTGAAGTTAGAAGCAGGATGGCAGAAGATTGGAGCGAGAATTGTACCAGATTTCAAAATGATAATGATGCCAAATTTGGCCTAACCCTTGGCCACTGTATGTTTTCAATTCTTCCTCTCCCCTGCTCTCTCTCATCCATCCACTCATCTATCCATCCACCCACCCATCCACTCACCCACCAATTTAGCCATTCATTTTTCTGACTATATTTATAACCACTTATAAGTATAATTCCCCATTAGGTAGGAAGTTGGATTAGATAACCTAAACATTTCCTTCCAGCCCTTAGGTTATATAAGGTATCTTTCACCTTAGGTTATATTGTGATTCTTTTTGGCAGGGTGTCGGTCTTTCTAATTAAGTTGTTTGGTTTCCTTGAAACATACATTTTTACTGAAGCTCACCTCATCCAGAGCTTTGTCAGGATATCTTTTTGACTCAGGTAATTTTGAACTTGAAATATGTGGCACGTGGTGAATAAGAACAACCATTCAGACAGACAATGAGCAAGAGGGAAGGACAGCCTGGAATTAGATCATCATCTGGTTTTATCTCACTTGTATGCTACATCAATTATGACAATGGTGACAACGATGGTAGTGATGGTGATGATGGAAGTGATGGTGGTGATGGCAATGATGATGATAAGTTCAGTAGATTATATGGCCCTTGTAACAGAGGGAATTTAGAGAGGTCATCCACTTGACCTTCTTGCCTCCTATTAATTAATGCCTGATTCATTCCTGAAATATGCCTAACCCTATTTTTAGAAATGGCCCCAAGAATCTTGAAATCTTTTCTAGCCCCACCTCTCCCTGACTTTGGCCAGAGTTCCCTCCTGCTATATGTTTATTTTCCCCCTTCATTTAAAAAACGATTGAAACAATAAATAATAAAACATAATTATTGGATAGAATATAGTTCTTTGAGCTACACAGTGATAGAAAATTAAAGGAAGCAAAAAGAATCAATCTATATGGTCATGGGTCGCAAGAGATCGATGAAAAAGGGGAAGCCAAGTTTGAGGATAGAGAAGCTGGAACTAAATGGTTCAGCCTTCGTGGAAACACAAACACCATATTGATGCTGATCTCTTTCTTTTCAAATTCTAGGAATCGTGGTGTGGTTGAGACTGAGTCACCTGGAAAGTGTGCCAAAGCCTGGTTGTTACTTTGGATTTCCATTTGCAGAAAGATCGCTCCCATTTCCTCAGAACTGGATCAAGTGTGGTCTTGGTGTCCTACCTTTCCTACATTTGCTCCCTGTGAGGAGGAAGGAATAAGATCCAGAAGACAATGCTATCATTTATGGAGTATCTACACAGTGTCAAGCACTGAACTTTACACAGTTTATAGCACTTTATTCATCCCCACAATCTTAAAAAGGATGGCATTATCCCCATGTTTCAGACTGAGAACTTTAAGGTCCAGAAAGTCCCAGGGTTCCCTGATTGGTAAAGGATGGAGGTTGAACTGAGCCCAGATCTATATACTTCATAGTCACTCACATGAGGAAAAGGGCATGGGAGCATTTTACCTGAATTCCTTCTTGGATTCTGACTGAGATGAACACAAATTCTCTTGCCCATGCCCTAGATCTCTACCTCCTCTTGTCTATGAGCCTGCAGCTTCATATTATGATAATATGATCCTTTCCTTCCTACATATATGAGCATGGATCAAAGGATAGAGTGGCCATCTCACATACACATATTATAGACTCTGAAATCACCACCTCCAGCTCTAACTCATATCAAATAGAGCCTGTTCTCCAGTCCCTGACCCGTCCTTCCTTCCATGGAATAAACACTAACTTTTGCATGCCTGCCTACCCCTGGGTTACAGGGAGGCCTCTGCCAGGCCATACTTCACACTGTGAAGAAAGGCATCTAAGGCATGTTTGGGCCCATCCCCTGACCTCTGTGCAGGACTGCACGTAGGCCTGCCCCACGGAGTCACAGGGCAGGACTCCCAGAGTAGCACCTGAGTGGTGATTCAGAGGAGCAGCTGCCAGTATGTCTGAGGGCACAGACCCCACGTGCCAGGCTGAGAGGCCTGTATTTGGCAGGTGGTTTGTTCCCAGCAGTAGCAAGACTGCAGCAAGGTATTACAGAGATACAAGGTCAAGTGGAAGTAGAGTTGTCACTTGGGTTTTTTAAATTAAATGACTTTTATACACTTTGATCCAAAATCCTTCAAAAAGGGATAACAACAACCCTGAAGACACTTACCCCCGACCCAATCAGTACAAGCTGAATGAAAAGCAATCCTATATGGATATAAAAGGGAGAGAAATTCCACAGGTGGCTCTGACATCACCTACAGGATGGCAGATGTCCGTATTGGTATCTCATTGCCCATCTTCAAAGTGAGGACAATTAGTCTATTTTTGAATCCCAAAGACCATCTATAGAGAGAAACATGCTCGTTGAAGGATAAGGACATGGGACACATGGCATCTTTCAATAACAAGGGAAGGAAGGAGCTCAAATGAAGGGAATTGGGGAAGTGGGCATGCCACTAGGGAGAGGCTGCAGGGCTGGAAGGCAAGCTGTACGTAACTCTGCTTAGCCCTAAGAGAGAAATGACCTCTATTCGGGAGTGGGGATTTAGTAGGAGATAGTCCTGACCAACCTGTGTCGGTCAGCCTTGAGTTGGTGTCAGGGCCTCAGATTCTTACCAAGGCTTACTTTACAGTTAACCCTAAGTTTCCCTATTTATCAGGGCAATTAACAAAAAATAAAGTGATTGTTCCTCAGGTTGTGTCTTAAAATATACACATGAAGCAGATCCACCAAATACATCGTGTCCACTCAGCCCTCCGGGAGAGGAACTTCTCTCTTTTGGGGAATCTGTCATAAGACTTGGCTTGACCAACTGTAGGAGTTCTTATGGGTTGTGACAGACCAAGTCCTCAGCCAGGGCCAGGAGTAAGGCACCAGACTTTTGGGTGTGTGTGAGAGAGTACACAGAAACCATCACACCCACACCCCACATACCACAACAGGGTGGAGCGAGCCACTAGTCCTTACCTTAACCTTCTCATTATGTTCAGAAATGCTGAGCTTTGACAGTGCTGGGCTGGCTCCTAAGGATGCAGCCCCAAAATGCTCAGCCAACCTAAAGGACACCTTTCCAATAAGAGCTTCCTTCCTTTATCTGCCCCTCACATCCGGGGATCCTAGATTCCAACCAGGTCACAGCCACGAGTCCCATTTATTTCCCAAGGGGAAGTAGGAGTCATGTCTCGCCACGTCTGATCTGCAAGCTTGTATTCACAAGCTCACACCACCCATCCAGATTACCGTCTTTTGGCATTTTCTCAAGTTGCATAACTTGGTCAGGAAATTTGGGGTTAATAATGACTTACTCTACTATTGTTTTTATTTTTATAAAATAAAAAGGCACACATTAAATATGACACGAACAGCATTTAATCTCTGATATTTCAGAAGACGCTTTAGGATGTGAAGGTCCCGTGGGGTGCTGTGTGGATGCATACAAGTACATGCAGCCTGGATTGGGATCAGGAGCCCAGCTCTGGCCCCAGCTCTCGGCTACTAAGTGGCATTGACTGTGAATGGGTCACTTCCCTTCTCCAACAGGGTTGGGTTTGAGCATCTGTAAGGCCCCTCCCAGTTCTGATATTCTATGCCTAACTAGCAGAGAATGTATTGTGTTGATTTTCCATAGGTGCTGAGAAAGATAAAAACTACTTGCAATAGCGTGGCAAGACCTGAAACAGTTCTACTGCAAGTACTGAAGCCTCTGGGCCCAGGCTCCCAACTCATTGTTGGCCAAGCCTGGGTCAGTCATGAGCAGACTGAGACAGGAGCAGAAATCACAGAACCAGGGACCACGGCACAGTTTATGAGGGCATTTACCAAGTTCATGGACAAGGACCCTCCCCAGAGAAGGAATGTACTTTGACCACTGATCCTGCCTTCTCAGACCAACAAGAGCTCTGCTGCTCTCAATCCACCAAGAGTTTTTAGTTGCAGGAACATGTCCTATCCCTGGGACGGGGAGACAGTGAGAAGGTAGCAGGTGAAGAGATAACCAGCTCCTCTTGGCTCCTGTCCAGAAGGCCAGCACAGAGAGAAGGATCGAGTGAAGTATGAGCTAGTCTCCATCTATCACAGGAATTCTGGAAGACCCGCATTCCAGGTGATGCTACATTTGTGGCACCAGCACATCCATGAGCTCCTTTGACTTTTTTTTTTTTTAATCAGGCTTGGCCACCCCTCTCGATTCCATTCTGATTAGGCCGAATGCTACCCAATGTACAAAAATCTCCAACATGAACAGGATTTTCAACGATTCCTTGTCTTATAAATAATTTCAGTGATATATACAGCCTAACACACACACACACACACACACACACACACACACACACACACACTTGTGAAAATCATCTTCAGGATGATTCATCAGGTACTCATTGGCACAACCACCCTGAATCTGAGCGTAGGCTTGGACTCCAATCTCTCCCTCCTCTTCCCTTCAGAGAGCAGAGCGTCGGAAGAAGCCTTCCCCCAGCCCAGCCCCTGAGCAGCGAGGTGGACAAGGCTCCTGGGTGGAGCCCTGAGTGCTGTCTTATAGGACAGGAGGCAGGGACGAGGTTGTGCGGGCAATGCTGGTGGGCAGGGCCTAACTTTACTCCTTCCACAGCCCCAGCTTCTTCAGAGCCTCCCTTCTGTGCTCATCAGGGACGCCTTTGGGGGAAATCTTGACACTGACACAAGAGGGCCGAGGTAGCTTGTCACGGCTCTGTCCTTGGTAAGACAAGCGCTTGGCGCTCTGCTCGTGGTCAGCCAGCTTGCTCACCTGAAACCCTGCAAAGTCCCTTCCAGTGCCCAACGAGGCAGGGCGGGGTCGGGAATTACGCAAGTCACTGGGTGAGATTTTGTTCAAGAAGGGGTCTTTTCCCAGAGAGGTGCTAGTCTTGGAGCTGGGGTCTTTCTCAGTCGAGAGGTAGCTGCTCAGCCCCACCCCTGACCGCTCCAGAGTGTTGGACTTGAAGTTCATCTGTCTCAACCCAGGGATGCTGCTCTCCTGCAGAGTCAAGGGACTACCAATCCTGGGGGCCTTAGAGATGGGAATTGGCATGGACTTGGCAGCTGGAACCTTCTCTGGATTGGGTTCCTGGGCAGGAAGGAAAACCTTGCCTGGAGTAGACCCCTGAGCTGGAGCGGGAGCCAGGGCTTTCATTGGAGAAAGTCCCCGGGTTGGAGCAGGAGCAAAAGCCTTCCCTGCAGCAGGCACAGCTGCTGAGACCTGAGGTGCAGGCTGAGCTGGAACTGGGGCAGGGGAAGGGGCCTGAGCGCCAGTCCCCTTGTGCCTGAAGGAGCTGGTGGGCTTACTTAACTGGGGGCTGGGCTTCTCTTGGTCCTGGGGCAGCCCCAGCTTTGCTAGAGCCTCCTTGCGTGCTTGTGCTTTCCTCTGCTCCTGCAGTGAAGAAGAGACCAGGCCAGAATCGCCTGGGGCGGCCTCAGAGTGGCGGGACAGCCAGTGCTGGGGTTCACTGTGGAAACTGCTTCGGCTGCTCTTGAGAACAATGTTAGGGGGGAGCTTCCGGGGCTTAGGCCCTGTGAGGGGAGCCACTTGGGCATTTGGATCCCGCCCAGGTGGGACAGAAGCATCTGTAGCTCTGCCGTTCTGAGACGACATGGCAGGAAGAGGCCGAGGTTGTCCTGGTGCCCCTGTGGAGCCTTTCTCATTGGCGTTTTGGGACATGGCCTCTGAAGAAGTCTCCTTTCTCTTCGGGGGGCTGAGTGACGTGAGGAGCTGGGGCGCGGGGGTCTTCTCCGCTGGCCCTGTGGGCAGGCTGTCTTCCCCACGCTGCTCGGGCTGGGAGTCCCGGAAAGCCTCTGGTGGGGGGATGAGAGTTGTGTCTAAATCAAGGGTGGCCTCCTGGAGCCCCACGGGAGTCTGGCTGGGCTCCCTGTTCTGGCTGAGCTGCTCTTCCTTTGGGTCTGGGATGACCCTCTGGACTGGAACCTGGCTGGGCTCCCTGCTCTGGCTGAGCTGCTCTTCTGTAGGGTCTGGGATGACCCTCGTGGGTTCCCCTGGCAACTGGCTATTCGTCTGGGCGGTGCTTTTCCTGAGGTGCTGGTTCCTGGCGATGTGGATATTGCGGGGGAGGCTGTAGGAGCCGGATCTGAAGCCCAGGTCTTGGGGTTCAGGCAGAGGGGGGAAGCTGTACTGGGTTGCTCTCCTTGGCTCTAGTCTTTGCTGAGCAGCGGTCTCCTCCGGATGTCCTGTGAGGGGCCGGGAGAGCAGGCAAAGAGAGGACAGAGGTGAGAGCCCTGCTGCTAAGGGAAAAGCAAATATTCCTTGAACTCTGATCTCTAATTTGCATGGATGGGTTTTGTTTTTTGTTGTTTCTTTGCTCTAAAAGGGGAAGCACTCTTGCCTGGATATCATCTATTATAGATGAGCAGATCGATACTAATAGATTCCTTTCCACCAGGGATTAATTTTTCACAATAACTGGGGAAAGGACAGCCCCAGATGGCTCCCTGTCCTGAACGCAGGCTCTTTCTAGCCCTCTACAGAAGCACCGGGGGTGGGAGAGACCCAGGCTCCCCGGTAACAGTCCAATGGAAGTATTGAACTCAAACAGCATGAACAGGTGATTGGCTCTTGTTGGGCTCCACCTTCTTCCTTCACATCTCATACTGGTAAGTACACGTATGATTGTGGGTAATGGCCAAAGCTGTCCCCACACCAGAGAGCGACATGGGCCCTCTTTCCTTCCATTGAGCTAGTCAGGTGCACCGGGCCCACTGGGCCAGGGAGTGAGTCCGAAGTGGCAGTGAAGCCCCGTGCTCCCATTGACTGCTCTAGCTTCAGGGACATTCTAACACATTATCAATAAATATTTGCTAAACGAATGAGTGAATGATTGCAGCCTTGGTTCCAGTGGATGGATCTCTTCTTAAGAGGAAAATGCCCACCCCACCCTGGGACATATGGCCCCCTACTCACAGCCACATCATATGCCACCCTGTCTCCCTTCTAATGAGCCTCAACACCACTGGCTCTCCACACACTCTCCCCAGGGCCTTAACATGCCACCCACTCAGGCTAAAGGGGCCCCTCCCTCTTCTTATCTCCTGCAGCCTCCGCCTCTGGGTCATCCAGATTAGCTCCCCAGCCTGACTCAGACTCTACAGAGCCAACCACCCACCCCTCCCTCACCTCTGTGGTTCTATCTATTTAGAATTCCTCCAGGAGTGGGTGGCAGCTGGTCAAACCCTCTCCCTCCCAGGCCTCTGACACATATAGACAGGCACAGGAAGCTGGCGGCTCAGCACACCCTCCTTCCCTCCAGGGACAAAGCTTTCTTCTGGTCAGGAGAGTGGAGGGGAATGTGGAGCCAAGAGCAAACAAAGTAGAAAGTGGCCAGAAGGACGTTCCGATTTTCTGCGTTTCGCTAGAGGTGCTACCCCAGACAAGTCCCTCTTACCCTGGGGAGCAGGCTGGAGCAGGGGCAGTGCTCGGGGACTTTGGGGAGTTGTGGCTTGCTCAGACTCCTCCGTGGACAGTCCGCTGTCGGCCTCAGTGTCCAATGAACCAATGGTCTCCTCCAGGAAGAGCAAACACTCCTTCTCTTCAGCGGACAGGAAGTCGTAGCTGTCAGTCTGGAGTGAGGACAGGAAGAAGGAGAGGAGGGAGCTATGAGAGAAAGCTTGGCAGAAACTGGTGGGGCCTGAGAACCACCCTGCATTGGGGAAGGAATGCTGAAGAGCTGGAAACCTTTCCACGGAGCTACTCTGCAAACCTGCTGGAGTTGCTTCCTGAAACTGTAGGCACCAGGGAGGGCAGAGACTGGCGGGCTGCTGTCCCACCAGCACTCGGCTCACGTGGCTGGGAAGGCAAATGGCAAGAAGCCTTGCTTTTGCTCAATCCTGGGGGAAATGCTTGGGAGCACAGATCAGAAGCAGCCCCAGGTTTCTCTGGAATTATTTGTTGCTTCTTTGCTCAAACATGTCATTTTGGGTGTCTCCGATTTAGCTCTAAATTATACAAGCAACATAAACATTTGACCTTCAACTTGAAAGGTATTGCTTTCAATTTTTCTAAGTACTGCTGCATACTTGACCTGGCATGTCAAGGACAGAATGAAGACAAACGGGAAACGCAGCCAACTGCTGGCTGCCAGGCCAGTGGGAACAGCGGTATGACTAGCCACAGATACATCTACCAAATAATTTATACTTGACTCTGAAATGCATTCCATACAGGATTTCCCCCCACCCCTGTGTATTTACCTTCTTGATAGTATTTGGCTTTGCTAACATTCAAACGAGTGTGTGTTTCTTAAGCAAATAGTAACTTAAGGAGGGAGGGTGAAGAAATTGGATGAGTACAGAGGAAGGGGGGAGAAAGCTATTTAGTATTAAATATTAGGTAGATCATAAGTAACTGATTTGAATTATGGGAAAGCCCATAGGAATATCTAGAAAAAAAATGGTATGGTCCTTTCCGATGGTTACTGACCATGTTCTACAGGCCAGGAAAACCCATGCAACAGTCGCTCTCCCAACAAGAGGTTTTAGGGAAAACTAAAAGGGCAAATAGGAACATGTGAAATTTGGCCCAAGTCCGTTCCTGGCATCTTTGTCCCTCTTTCTAATATTTGAGATGCTTCAGAGTTATATATTCTCCAGACCCACTCAGATGGCCAGGAGAGATTTTGGGATAGCCCTAAAAATATCCTGGGAGGAGGGAAGAGAGCTGTTGGAATAACCCTTCCAGTCCCAGACTCCTTAAAGTGCCATCTGTCAGCTGACTGAGTGGCAACTGACAGATGGCACTTACATTTCAAGGGGAACCCTAAACATAACCCTTGGAAGCCCTGGAGCCAACTCCAGTGGTTCTCTGAACAAAGATCTTCTTTACCGCCTTGACAAAGATAAGCCAGCTCTGGGTTTACCCTTTGTGGATGTTTCTTTTTGAATATCTTTAATCCCAATCATACTTTGAGTCCAGTGGAATGTAACTATGCATCTTGACCTCAGCCAAACAGAAACAGAAAGATGTCTCTGTGGCCCCATTATCGAAAGTCAAAAAGAAATTATATACAGATTGCCTGCACTTTGGATTTTGTGTTTGTGCTGCCTTTTCTAATCCATTTTTACATATCAAAACTCATTGACATATATATATATATATATATATATATATATATATATATATATATATATATTTCTTCCTAATCATCACCTAAGGATATGTTTTCAGCAATTTAAGAGAGAAGGAGAGAGAGAAATATTGCCATGTTGCTTCCCATACGTGCCCTAACCAGGAATCAAACCACAAGTATGTGCCCTGACCGGGAATCGAACCCACCACCTTCTGTTGTACAGAATGAAGCCCCAACCAAATGAGCCACACCAACCAGGGCTCACTGACTATATGAAACATCCTTGATGTACAGTAGACACACTTATAATCCTTAAATTTTCAAATACCTCTAAAGCCACAGACTACAAATTCTCAGGTGTTATTATGTATGTGAGGAATTTTCACAAGAAAGGAAAGCTTACATTTGGACATAGGGCAGATTTGCTCTTTCACTCTAGCCATACAACAATTAAGATTTAAATTCATGCCCAGAAAAACTACAATTCATTATGTGCCATTCACAAATAATTAAACATAGTGACTTTGGAAGAGTCTCAATCTCTGCTCATACATAGATGAATTCTTTTCTATAGGGAGATAATGTGCTAAGTGCTATATATACATTTCATTTACCTCCCCACAAGAACGCTAGGAATTCCGTTTTAATATTACCGCCATTTTAAAACTAAGGAGACTGAAGCTTAGAGAAATGAAGTAATTTGCCCAAGGTCATACAGCTCATACTAAGGAACCCAGATCTGTTCGGCTCCAGAACCCAGGCTCTTAATTACTCTGGTCTCTTTGATCTTTTTAAAAACTGAAACAATGTTGCTAATTGCAGAGAACCTCAGGAACACATGTGCTACAAGGATCTGCATTCTAGTTTCCACCACAACCTCAGATCATCGGCCTGTTCTCTCATTTCCACTCAGACCCCCAACTCTAATGAAAACTAGGAAAACGTCTCACTTGTCCAACAGTGCTCTGGAGTAGTCCCACCCTACAGAACCACGGGTGACTCAGAGACAGAAAGCATCAACTGCTGTGATTCACTCCCTGACAAGGAAGATGAAAGAGAAGGAGCAGTGAGCCAGGTTGTGGTGGGCAGGGCGGGGCGGGGCAGGGCAGGTGTGCAGAGAGCGGGCCAGGGTGCAGGACAGAGAGTACGTACAGATCCAGAGCGGGTGGAGGTGGCGCTCGTCATGCTGTCCCAGCTGCCGATGCGGGTCACGGGTTCCGAGCCAGGCCCCTCTGGCCACAGCTCCCTCTCGGGCATTGCCAGAAGCAAGGTGCAGGGACGGCGAAAGGGGCTCCCAGAGGGGAAGCGAAGAGAAGCGAAGAATGTCCCAAGCTGGGCCTGAAAAGAAAAGAATCAAAGCCACGTGTGAGCCAAGCCTGGGCTCCGGCAAGGCTCTGCCCAGGCCCTGGAGCAGCATGGCAGCAGGGACATCATGCAAGCAAAGTGTTGGAAGGGGTCGTGGACAGCCATTACCCAAACCCATCCTTCTCGCTCCCCTCAGCCTGCAGGGAAGGACACACAAGAGCCAGCTCACATACATGCAGCAGGACGGACTTAGGTGGTGGAGAAGCATGTAGTCAGAAAGGAAATTCTATCACTTCCCTTAGTCACCTTTTTCTGTGAATTAGGGAGCTTACCCTACATCCTCATTACTATAAACAATAAATATTATAGGGGTTAATAGCTTGGATTCTGGAGGTTGTTGGATCTGGGTTTAAATCACAGGTAAGCCATTTACAGTTATGTGACTTGAGGCAAATGACTCTTTCAGTTTGTTTTCCTCCACTAAAGCCAGCCAAACCTTGGAGGAGAGTAAACAGCAAATGAGAACAGTGAGCATCATTTAGCTCAGTGGTAGGCAGACTCATTAGTCAACAGAGCCAAATATCAATGGTACAACGATTGAAATTTCTTTTGAGAGCTGAAAACTGACTTCTGCGCATGGTATTTTGTGGAAGAGCCACACTCAAGAGGCCAAAGAGCTGTGTGTGGCTTGCAAGCCGCAGTTTGCCGACCACTGATTTAGCTGGTAGTAAATATTAAACCATGAATAACTAACTACTACTGTTCTTATAATAAGAAAAGGACAAACTCCATCTGGGATCAAAATAAATTGAAGGAAGGGAAACAAGAGTTTAGAACAGAAGGATTTGGGTTTAAATGGGAGACTATATAGGCTTGAAAGAAGGAGCAGGGCCCTTGATAGTACCTACGTCATAGGGTTGTCTTAAAGATACATGGACTATATTGTTGTCAATATAGTAAAACCCTTGCCCAGTGTATGGCCCAATGGTTAGCTGCCATTACAGTCAACAGCACCATCATCACAGCAGCCACCAACAAGCTACCATTATCTCCCTACCCTTGGACACACATGCATAGCAACTACAGTGGTTGGCACAAACTCAGCTTTCTTCTGTGCATCACCCCCTCTATGGTTGAACGTATCCCAAGGAGGCTTCCTAACTTGTGTCAAATAAACAAGAAAAGTGTCCTAGATAGTGTCCTCCCAATTCCAACTCCCAGGGAACAACGTTTCAAGTTCATTGTGCTAATAGTAATAGCAAAGGAAGGCCGTCTTCCTTCTGAAAAGGACAAGGATTTCCACATGCCTATTCCAGCACAGTTGGGAAGACCAGGGTGACTCTCCTTTGTGAAAATGAAATTCTAAAAAAAATAAAGATTAATAGACAGACGAAACAGAAAGTTGAGGGAGAGGTAGAATACAAAATACAGAGTACAGTCTGTTTCTGAATCCATATTCTTCCCATGACACATACTTTGTTTTCGACCATTTTTTCCTACCTTCCAATTCTAGGTAAAATGTCCTAGAAAAAAAAAAAAGTGTCTTGTTGAGATCTTGGGACTTGTCAGATTTGGGCTGTGCTGGGCGTGTCAGCCTGCCAGCTTCCTAGAGCTGACAAGCCCAAGACCTCACAGAGCTCCCCTCCTGCTCGGGAGAAAGTCCTCAGGGGGAGCAGGTGGGGAGGAGCAGGACAACGGGAAATGAAGAGGGAAAATCCCTGATGACACATGTAGTTTATGATGGTCCAGCTCCTCTCAGGAGATAGAGAGGGAACAAGAAGGGACAGAAATGCCAAAGATGCCCAATGGTAAGTCATCATTGGGTAAGACAGTTCTTAGAGTTCCTTCAGGAGGTGAGCTGCCCAATATCTAGAACCCCAAAGAAACAAAAACATGAGAATCCATGTGAATGAAGTTCAGTCACCTCATATATCCACTCCATTGATGACTGACTAGGTTCAGATAGTACTAACTCATTCTTGACATTCTGTGAGATTGATGCCATTGCAGAAAAGGGGAGCCATCTCTCATAAGACGAAGCGCACAGAAGGCACTCAAGAAATGCTAGATGAATATCTTGGACATTCATTTTCGTGTCTGTTGAGTTGAACTATGGGAAGTCTTCCTTTTTTGGCTTTTACCCTATTACTATAAGCACAATGGAATCTGGCCAATGCTTTCAGTTAAACTATCAGGCACGGAGCATGCACTGTTTCTGAGAAGTGAGTATAGAACCATGGGGGATGATAGTGTTGCTGTAACACACACAGAAACATAGTTTTTGCCTCCATTTTTTTTCTTTCTGAAAAATCGGGGCAGTACATATTGGAAGTGGCTCACTGGAATTAATATAATATTCTCTGTGAATGGGTGAGAGGATGCTCCCTCTTCCTTTCAGAGAAAATTACTACCCGGCTTCTTCCAAGCACACTTCAGTGTTTATAGTGTTTTTCTAGCCTTTCCTTCCTTCTAGGTTGCCTGTCACACTCTCACTTCCGAACCAGGATAGCCTGAAGCGGCTGGAAGAGATGGAAACAATCTGAATAGCACTGCTTAAAAAAAAAAAAAAAAAGCTTACAAAGTACTTTAAATATGCTAATGAGATCTTCAAAATAGCCTGATAACAGGCAGGATGTGACCTACTTCTCCTTTCCAAGGAAAGCAAGGAATGACCTCTAAGTGTATATCCAGGACAGCTGGCGGCCCCTGCCCTTCCAAAGGGCATCTCAGACCATCCAGATGCGAGAGGGCCATGTACCTAAAGAAGGTCATTGGCCAACCCCGACAGCACAGAAGCCCTCCAGTCCCCCTTCCTTCTAATTCACACCTTGAACCCTGTACATTCCCTACTCCAGCTTCATGCTCCAAGGCCAGGTTTGGCCCCCACAACAGCTGTTTCCAAACTAAAGACGTTACACCAAGTGCCACTGAAGATGGTATCATCAGATGCTACCTAGCCACTGCAGAGACAAATCCCAACCTGAAACCAAAGTTCAATGAGTCCTGAAGTGCTCCAGCCCCATCTCCACACCTTGTTTTCTGACGTAGTGTCTGACCTGTGAAAAGGCCTTCTCTCCCCACTTCCACCTCCCCTCCCTCCCTCCCTCCCTCCCTCACCAGTTTGGCCTGATCTGGATGCTGCTGCATTTCCTTCCACTCAACTTTACAACCTTGAAACTTGGGGGCTATTTCCAGGCAACCATTGAAACCTGAGAGATTCCAACCTGATAAAAAGCGGGAGTGCAAGCACTCAGGTGAGAGGTTGGTATCTTTTAACCCTTGACCTCTGAAGGGCCGGAGGGGAGGAGGGAATGGGTTAAGAAATGTGTATAGTTAGGGCTGGCCATGCACAGGTACATTAAACATTAACCACACCACTAAAGCCCAGCCAGGCCTCAGAGGAGAGTAAATAAATAGCATGTGGAATTCTGGCATCTGAAGAGGGTGGGTGGGGAGAAGGCTTTGGTCGGCCCCATTTCAGTTTTCTCTGTGCCTTCTGAATAGACTCCTCCCACGAGCCACCCCCCCACACCCTCCCAGGGCTTGGTCTTCCTCTCCAGAAGTCAGGGAGGTCACCTGTGTCCTTTAGACCAGGGGGTCTCTGCTATTCTACCCAGAAATGCACCCCAGGTGGGGGAAGATCCCAAGGAAACCCCCAGGATGACTTGCATTGCCCTGCGTGTGCAGAACTTTCCGGGAGCACGCGGGCAAGTTCCTGCGTGTGTCACGATCTCGCTCTAATCCTCTCTTTCACTACTGGGTTTGAGGGAAGGGGCTGGTATGCATATTCTCTGCACAAAAAGAGCTTTGTTGGAGACTGTGGGTTGTCTTTATTGCTGACAAGTTCACCCTCCGTGGCCGTCCTCAGTTAGTGAGTTTGGGGGGCTGGTCCTGGGGTGTGGCGAAAGCGCCAATTGCCAGGACTGGAGATCTAATCCAAGGGTGGGCAAAAGTAGTTTACAGTTGTTCTTTCAAAAAAAAAACAAACAAAAAAACCAAGAATAAATTCTGTTTCACATGTTCACAACTGTTAACCTACTTTTGCCCACTCTTCTATATTCACTCAGCTTGTGCCTCAGACACCGGGTCTTCCCGCTTCCCTCTTCCCTGCAGCAGGAGAAAGGAGGCAAAGGGCAGAGTTATAGGCCAGAGTGTACCTCCCCACCACCACCACCACCACTCCCCAGAGGTGGATAATGGAGAGCTGACTTACTACTCTGACTCTGACTTCTGGATTCAACTTCCTTGTGCAGGTAAACCTGTCAAACAAGCTGCTGACTGGGGGCCTTGCAGGAAAGCACACCCGGGGAAAGCACATCGCACGGCCGTGGCCTGAACCCCCCTCGGAACCCCCACCAGAGTCGTCATGCAACCGTGAGAGTCATAAGAATGTGGACGAGGCCCCTGCGCAGCCGCCTAGCTTTCTGCTTGCTGGTCTCTAGGTCTGCTAACAGGTAAAGTCAGGAAATTAATTGAGTTGGACCCAAATAAAGGGGATTGTGCAACTAGATTATCCGAGGGGTTTCCAGAATAGAGCTGGTAGCCTGAGCTGGAGTTTTTCCAAAGTAACCAAACCTTGCATCCCCTCACAAACAGCCCAGCAGAGCTAATGCCTTACACACCTGTCTGCAGAAAGCTCCATTATCACATTGCCATTATTTAACACACACACACACACACACACACGCACACACACACACACACACTGCACCCTTTACTTAAACAAAGATAGTCGGTGGGTTGATAAAGCCACGGGAGGGTTTCCAGTAGAAATGCAATGGAAAAGCACTCTCATTCCCTGGGCCTCCCTGCATGTTGACTTCTCTACTCCCACTATTCTCTTCCAAAGTCACAGCTCATTCGGAATTGCTCAGAGATGGAAATTTCCAAAACAAACCTATCTCCCCCCCACCCTCACCCCCCTTGTATGCTTATCCAACCTAAATAAGCAA